AACAAGGCTCACATCATTTATGCATTGTTAAACCCCTGTAATTGAAACAAGACATATTTTGCATATTAGACCATTAGAATAATGCGCTTTACGTTTCTCCCAACACGACTATTTAAGCCTGTGTGGCGATGTGGTAATTCCTTGAATTACAGCCTAATTACCACAATGTTCTTTTGATTTGGCCCATTTCGAAGTTACGCCACAATAATGTTCAATATTACCAGAAGGAATTACTGAGCCGTGCCCAGAAACTTTATTTCGTATCACTTGAATTCATTGAAAGGATTATTAGCCTATGAATTGATCGACGTTAATGGTCCAATCAGGTGCACTTGTTGAAGCGTTCCACTTAGAAGTGGAATTACAGTACAAGCACTCGGTGGGTTTTTTTTCACCAGGCTTTGCGAAGTGTTGCCATCTGTTTATTCTGAAAAGGATTGTCTGCTCAATAGACGTAAGGTGAAAGCCATTCCCAAGCCTTGACACTTTCAAAATATATTTCTGTTAATGTAAACCGCATTTGGCTAAAGCTGCCTTAAGTGGTATTCACTGAGATCAATGTGGGACATATTCCACCTTTATAGTCATAAAACTGGGTTGGGCTTTGTGTATGATGAAGATTTCATTCTCCACTCACTGACCACAACGATGATTAGGCCCGATACGAGAGTTGAATCCAAAATACTTTTTCAAACAATGTTTGGTTTTGAATGATTAAAGAATATGACCCGTAGTTGAAGTGGACGGTAATATTTTACTGCTATGATGAAGATTTCATTCTCCACTCACTGACCACAATGATAGGGACATCTGATTAAACCCGATACGAGAGTTGAATCCAAAATACTTTTTCAGACAATGTTTGTTTTTGAATGAGTCAAGAATATGACCGTAGTTGAAGTGGACGGTAATATTTTACTGTGGTGAAAAGAGAAACGATCCGAATTATGGCTCAGTTTGATGCATCCTAATTACACAACTGCAACCACCAACCACAATGATAAATGTACAGTATTCCTCTTTCTGACCGACTAACAATCTTGTACGGGTCGAGCCTATGTTTTCTCTTCCGACTAAGAACTGAGTAACAATTACATTGAAGTGTTTCTTAAATGTTACCAATGACTATTTGTTTCTGAAAGTGAGTTTCTTTGATAGCTTTGTCTCAATTTTCTCTGCGTGACCCAAAAGAATGAATTGGTGAGTTTTGTCCATTTGAATTCTTTTCAATTTATATTTCATCTGGGGCCTTTATCGCTTTCTTCATATAAGATGAAATTTAAACTAAATGGCCGTTTTTTTTTCTTTGCAGTCATATATAATGAATTATTGAAATGATTTACAATGAAATACAGCCGTACTTGTGGTTTACCTCAAAAGGTTTTTGTTTTTCCCGCAAAACTTTTTCTTTCTTTCTTTCGTTTTTTCTTTCTATTTATAAAAGTAGTTTGCATTATCTCACTGCAGTGTGAGGAGAAGCTTTGAGGAGGGACATAATCTCTCTCATCTTTTCGGTTTCCTTCTCCTTTCGCCCTCTCAGGGCTCTGTGCTCTTTACTCCTCCCTCCTTTATCCCCGGCCATGCTTTGTCCCCACTGCAGAGAGCCTCTCTAAATAGAGGCCTTTCGATGGCACAGGAGCATTCAGGGAGGGGGAAGGGAGTAACGCCACTGCTGTTGTTTCATTTACTTCTCCCTATGGCAACCAGCAGTGTCGGGCCAGGAATGTCCCCTCTCCGGACAAAGTCCTGGTCCCTGAAGCTGACACCAGGGGGACGACAGCTGGGGCGGGATGGAAGCCTGCTCCCTCTGCTCTGGACCGAAGGCCCCGGTTTGAACATTAAACTGCCTCTTCATTAATTTTGGTCTGTCTGTGCTTCACTGTGTGATGAGCAGCCAGTTTTCCCACACGCCATTAAACATGAGTGTGACGAATGATAGAACTGCTGCAAATATTTTTAAGATCTCTTTTGGTGACGTAAGGATCGAGGATCTTACAATTTTGCCTTTGTTTTGGCCCCGATCTCGCACAATGTTGGACAACAATTGTAAGGTCATACAAAATACATCATCACGCTCCTCATCACAGAGAAAGCGCAGCTTTTTTATTCTTAACAGAAAAATAATAATAATAATTCACAAAGTTAGTTGAAGAACCTATCCTTCTTTTCACAGTGAATGCAAAAAAAATCCACTTACAAGTTTTGGAACATCTTGAAAGTTATCTAAAGCAAACAATTTGTATTTTTGCACATTTCCTAAAATGCTAAGAATCTTCATTTAATAGGTTTAGGTGTTATTTTTTTATTATCCGTTGAACATAATTTACCCTGAGGTCGTGTTCAAGTAATTTAATTAGGCAACGATTTCATGTCAGGCCATTGCACTTCAACGTGCATCCTCCAAAGTGTATGTTTTTAATAATGTATTATTTGGTTGTTTTTGTTTGTCTTGCAAATTATATTGCCTGGAGTTCCTTTTACTCAATATATATCATTTCTAAAACACACGCAACTTTTTTTGTCTTATTGCTTATTCAAAAGACAGCTGTTGTCATTTACTGAATATTTCTATTCAGAAAACATGGAAAACAATGTCACGTCTTTAAATTCTGTTTTTAGAAATGCAAATGTTTGATGTTGTTTGCGCACGTGTTGTTTTCAACCCTATTGTTATTTTATGTTCCATGTAAAGTGCTGAATTTCAGTTGCAGCTGTTGTGAAATGAAATATAAATAAAGTTGTTTTGTATTAACGTATACGTTAAACATGTCAAACTTAAATACGAGACAAAGTGTAAAATAAATCAGTCGAGTGGCTGCCATGCAAACAGCATATTTCCTGAAATGCAAGTAATGCACAGGCCATATCAATACAAACGACTACATCTACAAACATTTCACGGGCCAACTCATGCATATCGTCACGATGTAGCCCCAAATTAAAGATTTACACAAATAGTTGAGGATGTTGTACGCAAACAATTACATACGCTCATCAAGACAATTGGTATGAGCGATCAATACATGCTGGGCATCAGATCTTTTCTGGAGCTAGCGGCTACCCGTGAGACATCTTTCGTCATGACAGTGCGTGATAATCCAAATAAATCAACGCTATCTTACAGTTGCACTGCCACTGCCGAAGCCGCCGCTCCGCGCCTCCATGCTGCACTCCAAGGCTCTCTTCCACTCAGCTCCCTCTCACACCCCGCTCACCAAAGAGAGGAGCGCGTTCCCGGCGGCCAATCGGCGCGCCGTCGCCCTTAGCAACTACGTCCATCAGCCTCGCTCGGCCAATGAGCGCGCGGGGCGGGGCGGCGCGGAGTCGCAGGTGAGCCTC